GCCACGACCTCTTCCTCACCGGACCCCGCTATCGTCGCAGTCACCTCGTCGCCGGACGCCATCGCCGGCCTGCTTCCTCCCCGTCGCCCGGTCGTCCCCGACCTTCTTCCTCGTCACCCACTGCCACTTCCCTACCGGCCCTGTGAGCTCTCTCCCTTTCCCTCTTTGTCCCGAGCGACCATCACTGCCTCCGGGGCGCGCTCACCGCGACCGGCCGCGTCCCGCAACTCCACGCCGGCGCGCCGCCACGCCGTGCTCGCGGCCACCACGACCCCATGCGCCCGTCCCCTGCTGCGGCGCCTCGCCGCTGGCCCCATGCCCCCTCGTGTTGGTCTGCTGCGGTGGCTGAAGCTGCGGGCGCTGCCGCCGTCGTCCACCCGCGCCCGCCGTGGCCTCTGCCACCCTCGCCCACACTCGCCGCGCCACGACGCCCCACCCGCGCCTGGCCTTGGCCTCCTCCTGGCCTCCCCTGCTCGGGTGCCCGGCTGGGTACACCCGCCCCTGGGCGTGCGCCCGCTCGGGCCGAAAGCGCAGCGCCCCGTGCCCGTTTGCCCGGCGCCCGCAACCTCCCCTTGTCCCAATGACAAATGGGGCCCACGCCCCTGAGAACGGAATTAAAAAAAAGGATTAAAAAAAAGAAAATAATAGTAATAATAAAAATAAATAATAAATATAAATAAATAAAATAATTAAATTATTAATTAGTTAATTAATTAAAGAATTAATTAACTTAATTAATCCTGATTAGATTAACCTAATCACCTAGTTTAGTTAATTAATCTGTTAGGTTAGTTAACAGTCAATGACGTGCGGGACCCACACGTAGTTGACCCAGACAGCTGCATAGTTGACTGCTGACGTCAGCATGTTGTCATGCTGACGTCATCATTTACTATTCTGGATAATGTTGGATTTAAATAATTAATTAAATTCCAGAAATTAATAAAATCTTTAGAAAATCATATCTTTTAATCCGTAACTCGGATTAAAATATTTTCAACATGAAAGTTGCTTAGAATGACGAGACGAATCCGGATACGCAGTCCGTTCGTCTGGCACACACCCCTAACCTACCGAACTCGCAACTTTCCCCCTCCGGCTCCTCTGCCCGAAAACACGAAACCCCGGAGATATTTTTCCGGATGTTTCCCCCCTTAACCGGCACCACCCCATACCACGTTAGGGCACGTCTAGCGTCGTTACTTGTCTTGTCATGCATCGATATGCATCTGTTACATGGTATTCATTGTTTCTTCCCCCTCTTATCTCCGGTAGACTACGAGACCGACGCTGCTGCTGCCCAGTTCGACTACGGAGTTGACGACCCCCTCTCTTGCCAGAGCAACCAGGCAAGCCCCCCCCCCTTGATCACCAGATATCGCCTATTCTACTCTATACTGCTTGCATTAGAGTAGTGTAGCATGTTACTGCTTTCTGTTATACCTATCCTGATGCATAGCCTGTCCTTGTTACTACTGTTGTTACCTTTACTTGCAATCCTATATGCTTAGTATAGGATGCTAGTATTTCCATCTGTGGCCCTACATTCTTGTCCGTCTGCTGTGCTATACTATCGGGCCGTGATCACTCGGAAGGT